GGAGGAGTTGAAGTGAAATCATATTACTAGGCCAGACGTTAGGAGTAAGGCGGAGAGGGCCCCTGTTAATGGTCAGGGACTAGGATTAACTATATGGTAGGCGTGGGTTTGGTGGGTCATTAAGTATTATCGTGTAAATAAAGACTTACTAAGAGAGTAAAAACATAAGCTCACCCATTTTAGTGTGTGACTTTTCAGATGCTGTTTCATTCTGTGTATATGTGTGTGTATACATGAGTGTGCAAAGATGAATGAGAAGATATGGACAGTGAGGATATTTGATGACGTTAAGAGTGAAACTATGTTGTTCCCTCTGTTAAAAAGACCTTTTTGGGGAGGGTAAATGCCAATATTTGCAGATGAAATTATATGCTATTTGGGAGTTACTTCAAATAATCTGGCTAGGGAGGGAGGGAGGAGCTTAGTGGGTGGGAAACTAGAAAAAACAAGATTGACCATGAATTGTTGAAACTGGGTTCATTATACTCTGGCCACCTTTTTGTGTATGTTTGAAATTTACCCCAAATTTTTAAAAAACAGCTTCAATTGTAACAGCTCAAGCCTTCCTTAATATTAGGTAGCTCCCCTAATACACGTAAGAAGACGCAAAGGATTTGACTCTACTTTGTGTACAACCAGGGGTATGAAAAAGTGTGCTCTATATGTGTATAAATTGTAATGCATTCTGTTGTCATATATAACAAATCAAAATTTAAGAATAAATAAATAAATTTTTAAAATATATTTTTAAAAATGTATTTAACTCATAAGTGTTTCTAAGATTGTAATTACAAATCACAGGTCTGAATTACTCCACATGAGACAAATCATCTCAAACAGTATTTGAAATTAAAATGCCAAATACAGATTTTTCTAAACACAATTCTTTTTTTTTAATATTAAATTGCATTTTTTTAAAGAGAGGTAGGGGAGAGAGAGAGAGAGAGAGAATATTTATTTCTTAGTTTTTTTTCGGGGGACACAACATCTTTGTTTGTATGTGGTGCTGAGGATCGAACCTGGGCCGCACACATGCCAGGCGAGCGCGCTACCGCTGGAGCCACATCCCCAGTCCCACACAATTCTTTATCTCAAGATTTGTATCTCAAAACATTTTATACTTAATATTTGGGGATGAAGGCGCTCACCTACCAAGTAAACAGCCAAGGAGCCTACAGTTTGGGCATCGTTTTCCCAAGAAATTGTTGGTGTTGCCTTACCAGCAATGGAGGACTCTTAATGACCAGTAAGACCCTTGGCAGAGAAGCCAGCTGGACCCTTATCCAGGACACAGAGGGGACATCCATGGTGTTTTTTTTTTTTTTTTTCATGTTTTTCGAATGTGATAAGTGGTAGCTATATTAATAATGTGCTATGCAGGAATGATAAATTCAAGTGGAGAAGGAAATCAGGTTTTTTTGTCGTTTTTTTTTTTTTAGTTTCTATGGCAATGACCTCCCAATGAGGTCTAAGCTAGGTCTTAGGTTGAAATCCTGTCATTACCTAATTTTTTATTCCTGGAAATTTGGAACTTCCATTAAGAGAATAACTAATTGCTTTCACTTCTTCAGTTGATCTTGTGTTTCTTTCCTTCTTTCTTTCTTTCTTTCTTTCTTTCATTCTTTCTTTCTTTCTTTCTTTCTTTCTTTTTCTTTTCTTTTTTTTAAAAGACACTTAAATGGCTTTCTGGCTGGCTTAAAATACCTTTAAACTCAAGGGAACTTTTGTCTCTTCTAGGGCTTTACCTGACTCTACAAAGGGGGCCATTCTAGTGACATTAATCCTTGCAGGTTTCTTCGAATGTGGTGTGAGCCCATCTGTGACTTGCAGCTCCTCAGTGGGTCACAGTCAGCAGTTAAACAGGCAGAGAGAGAACGGAGTGGAAGACATCAAAAGGCATTATAAGTTGTGAAGATGAATACTGTTTTTCTGAGACTTTGGTTTCATTTGTTTTTTGATGTGAATAAATACCTTGCTGTGGATCACTGTCAACGATTTAAAAACTGCCACTTTAGTATATGATGTGGAAGAGCTGGGACAGCCTAGCACATGGATAACAGCAAGAGTTAATCATAACCTGCTGGTAAAGAGGTAGGCCCCAAGGAAACAGAGCCCAAAACACACCCTGGGCTTAAACCAACCTAAAAGCTGAAATCAGTCAATCAAGCAAGCAACTATGCAGTAGCCCCTTAGTGGAAGGATACTTTTTTGTTGCTGAAGACACAGAGGTTGGCATGGTGGATTGTTTTTTGGTGTCCGTTCCTTCCCTCCATGCTCCGTATTCACCATTTATTGCCTTTTGGTAGCTCAGCGTTTGGTCTACTGTAGGTAATACATCCATATTTATCAGGTACAAATACTAGTAATTAAGACACCTGTTTCAGAGAATTGGGGAGGAGAATTTTTGTTTTAACAAGCTTTCCACGTAGCTAACCTGGTGGCAGTTGTAGACCATTATTTAGGAAGCATAGACCTAGTCCATCTGCTCCTTCCCTGGCCCAGGTTACACATGCTGTTAGCATTTGAACCATGCTAAAAATTGGGTCGCTCCTCTTCTGGTGGAGGGCTTTACCTACAACTCCTGGCATCTCTTACCAAGTTCTCTAAAAACATTCCATGGCCTTCTAGGAGGTGGCATGGATTCCATACTCCTCTCTACACCACCACATTCTCCCAAATGACTCATCATTTTATTTTCTTGCTCTATAGCTTTGGCTTTCTTTCTGTGGCCAGTAGCAGAAAGACCAAACTTGGAGCAGCATATCATTCAGAACCCACCAGCATCTGTTGCCCTCCTGTCCCTTCTGTCTCTTCTCTCTCTCTTCCAATCTCCCAACTCTCTCCTTCTGCTTTCACGTCCTGCTGGGGCCACCCCAGGTTACCCGGGAAGCCACAGACAACTAACCTTCACCAACTCTGGTCTTCTGTTCATGTGTGTCCACCAGGTGGAGCAGCCTCTATCTTTCTCTGAATAACATCCACCCTCCCACACCAAGTTCAAGTGCCACTTTTATAAAATCCTCTTGATTGGGAGTTAATCACTCCTTCCTTGATGCATCTTGCTCTTTGTCCCTATTCTGTAGCAGTAGCCCCTAAGACTGTTGTGGACTTGTTTAACTTCACCCATGTTTGATGGGAGAGTAAGCTGATAGAAGGCAGTTGTTACTGGAGTACTTTGGATCTAGATTGTCTCCCAAAGGTTCCTTGGTTGAAGGCTTGATCCCTAGTGCAGCCATGTTCAAAGGTGGGGTTTGAGAGAGGGATTGGATCCTGAGGGCTCTGACCTCATCAGTGGATTAACCTTTTGAGGAGTTAAAAATGTGAATGGACTCAAGGTGGAGGTGGAACAAAGTTGAGGGCGCAGGTTCCTGGGGACATATCCTTGAGGGCTGTATCTTGTCCCCGTCCCCTTCCTGGATGCCATGAGGGGACAGCTGTCCTCCACCATACACTTCTGCCATGATGTTCTCTCATCTCAGGCCCAAAGCTATGGAACTGGCTAATCATGGACTGAGACCTCTGAAACAATGAGCCCAAACAAACTTCTCCTCCTTTACGTTGTTTTTCTCAGCTATTTTGTTCCAGCGACAAAAAAGCGAACCAGGATCATGCATGTGTCCTTCACTTCACTGTACACCCTTGTCACCATTATTAGACGTTTGTTGAATTGATTTTTGTACGAGTTCTGATGACACCAGTGTTAATATTAACGGGCAGCATGGCCATTTAACTTGTGAGGAGTAGGAGCTTCAGCCTCCAGTCTCGGATGAAGGCTCGAGGCGGCTTGTGACTTCTCTGTCATTCCTTTTCTTCTTAAGCCCAGCCAAAGACAGTCCTGCCAGGTTTGCGACCTGTTCATGGGAAACAATGTTTAGTTTGTTTTTCTTTGGAGACAAGGTGGACAAGGAGGCTGGCATCTTGAAGAGGAAGTATTAGCAAATCTGATCCTCAGTGCCATTTATAAGAGATGGGAGAAGGGGAACTCAGGGAAGTGATTAGGGCATAGACGAAAAACCTCAGAGAACTGTGAGACAGGGGTGTCCAGCCATCCTGTCTGTGGAACGTCCTGCCTTTCGGGCTCTTCAGCCAGCACAAGAGTGCTTCAGGTCACTACCGAACGTACCTGCTGAGGGAGAAGCTTGTCACTGAGGGTCTTGCTGGCTCATTCCCAGGAGAGCAAATCTCCTTCCTGAATTAGAGGTGAGCGGAGAAAGCCCAGCGCAGGATACATGTGTATCAAGGGTGTTTATTTTGCTGGCTTTGGTTATTAAATAATTTTTGTGCAGTTACATCGGGGTGGTTTTTGAAAAGCAAAATCATTATTGAATGCTTTTTTTTTTTATGTTTTGTGTTTTTGGACAGGCCGAAAACCCAATTCTGTTAAAAATGAGATGAAAATCCTCACATTGAAATAATGATGTTTCTCTGTTACAGGTTCCTTGCATTGACTCCATGGAGAGTATATCATCTGATTTCGGTCATGATCCTTGGGCGTGTTATTATGCAAATAATAAAGGATATGGTTTTGTCTAGAACAAGAGGTAAGAACACTCAAGATTTAATTTTTATGGCATTTAATTCTCTCAACTCTGAATGTCTGATTCTTGTGAGGGCACACTAACCAATTATTCCTTTGAATATTCCTTTGAACAGGAAAAGCAATAGATTGTATAGGTACTGATTTTGCTATTTTCAATATAGTAATTTATGTAACTGATTCATAGCTTCAACTACTGCCTTTCCTATTGGCTCTAAGTGCCATTTCAAATACCTCTTTGATATGTAAGTAGGCTGCAGTGAGGATAGCAGTTAAATATTTATTACATCCTACCTGATGAAACTGGTCCACTGGAAAATGGACACGTTTATATAAACATTTTTTCTGCCTCAATGAAGAAAAACAATTGAGGATTTAAAAGCAAACGATAGAGAAAATTTTAAATGAGTAAACAATCATGAAAAATGAATAAATATCAAACATTAATTTTAAAAGTGAGAACTTAACAGTATTTTAAATTTTGCTTAATGTATTTTTGAGTAAGTTAACTGTATTATAAATCAAGCTGTCCATAGTTGGAGGATGCTCTTCCATGAGTGTTTGAGCTAGTTTTTTGTAAGTGGGCAAAAATCCCTCCTGGAAATAATTGAGTCCCATGAAGCCAAATGGAATAGATAGATTTGATAAAAATTAGCCCAGAGGAGATTGTAATCAGGCATTTAATTTTACTGACTATACCCCAACTGGAGACAGAGTTTTGGTTGAGACCCATGTGGACCAATGTGTTTAAGAACTGCCCAGATGTCTCATCCTGGTGGAGATATTGAGGTCCTTTTTGCAGGAGGCATGTTCTGTTCCCTAACACACACATGAGACCAAGAATGCATACAGTTACAGGTTTACCATTGAGACATTCTGTGGATCTGCTTTAAATCTGGTTTACTTAACATCTTTCTTAAACTAAATCATTGTGAAAACAATTTTTAGGAAGTTTGCTTTACATTAGTGTGTTTGCAGATTTGGAAGCAATTCCCTCTTGCCTAGCATCTTGGAAGGTGAAAACATTTGTTTTTGTTCAGTTAATGTGTTTCATGAATCTGAAGATTTCAATTATACTCTTGTATACACACTTCCCTGTCTCCCTCTCTCTCCCTACCCCTTTCTATCAGAGAGCAGGCACTGAACTGCCTCAGCTTCAGCTTGAGCAGGTGCTCACTGATTCTTCCTGCTTGCCACATATGCACTGAGGTCACCTAGAGGCAGAGCATCTATTTCCTTGGTTTTGTGCAAGGCTTCATTCGGTGGTCTACAGCAACTCCTTGTTTCTTCACCATTTTCTCAAATAAACTTTTACAACATGCTCCCCCTCTAGAACCTCTGGGAGGGGAATCCTAGAAGTGACAGCCAGTTGCAAGTTTTTTCAGCAACCATATTATCTTGATAGACCCAGCTGATCCACGGAGGATGCTGAGCATCTTGGTGCTTGGAGTTGTATGACAAATCTGGTCCTCATCTGGGCACAGGTTACAAAGAGTAGAAACACATGGAAGACTAAGACTTGATCTCTGTGTGAGTGGCCAAGTGTGAGAAAAGGGCAGTTAGGGAATCTTTCAGCTTCCATTCTGTGGACCTATGAAGATCTTAAGTTTCTAGTTTGACTTCCTGACTTGATGGGTTACACAAAGGCAGAAACTTCCTTCTCATGAATTATAGGAAAGTTGTACATCACAGAGATTCAGTCCTTTAAAATATTATGGAATTGAAAGAAGGCCAGCCTAAAGAGTCTAATTCTCAGACTGGGTCACTCATTTCTAGCTGTAGAGAAGCCATATAACAGACTGTGTTAGTTTCCTGTTGCTGCTGTAACAAAATACCACCAACGCTATGGCTCAAAACAAAGAAAGTTCTTCTCTTGCAGTTCTGGATGCCACTTGTCCAAGTTGGTATTGTTGAACCAAAATCAAGGAGTCAGAGATCTGGATGCCCTCTGGAGGCTTTAGTGAAGAATCTGGCCTTTCCTAGCTTCTGGTGGGTTCTGTCTGTTATCTATCCTCCTCAGCCTGTCTCTACCAAGGGCACTTGTGATTGGATTGCCTTTGGCACCCACCCGGGTGGCAGGTGATCTGCTCATCTCATGTTCCTTAACCCAATCACATCTGCAAGGCTCTCTTTCTATATGAACTCACATTCCCAGATTCCAGGGATGAAGATTTGATATCTTCAGGACTGTGACTAGGCCTACTTTACCACCAGAACCTCTTTATCCTGCTAAATGGGGGAACCATGCTCACACCAGGGGGTTGTATGAGGGGCAGTTAAGAGCGTGGAACAGAAGTACTTTTGGATGCTTCAGATGATCTGGAGTCTCAAGGAAGACATTATACAGCAAATTCAGACAATGAAAAATCACTTTGACAATGAATTACATAAACAAATCCAAGAAGCAAAAGATCAACTCTATAGGGAGATAGAGGATATAAAAAACAAACAAACAGAAATCCTGGAAATGCAGGAAACAATAAACCAAATTAAAAACTCAAATGAGAGTATTACAAGCAGAGAAGAACACTTAGAAGATAGAACTTCAGACAACGAAGACAAAGTTTTTCAACTTGAAAAGAACATAGACAGCTCAGCAAGAATGTTAAGAAATCATGAGCAGAACATCCAAGAATTATGGGATAACATCAAGAAACCAAACCTAAGAGTTATTGGGATACAAGAGGGTATAGAGGTCCAAACCAAGGGAATGAGCAATCTATTCAATGAAATAAAACTAGAAAACTTCCCAGACTTAAAGAATGAAAAAGAAATCCAAATACTAGAAGCCTACAGGACACCAAATGTACAAAATCATAAGAGATCCACACCAAGACACATAATAATGAAGATGCCCAACATACAGAATAAGGAGAGAATCTTAAAAGCCACAAGAGAGAGGAAACAGATTACATTTAGGGGTAAACTAATCAGGATAACTGCTGATCTTTCAACACAGACTCTGAAAGCTAGAAGAGCCTGAGCCTGGAACAACATATTTCAAACGCTGAAAGAAAAAGGGTTCCAACCAAGAATCATGTATCCAGCGAAATTTAAGCTTCAGGATTGAAGATGAAATGAGAATCTTCCACAACAAACAAAAGTTAAAAGAATTTGCAGCTAGAAAACCAGCTCTTCAAAACATCCTTGGCAAAAAATTACAGGAAGAGGAAATGAAAAATAACAATGAAAACCAACAGCAGGACGTAGTACAGTAAAGGAAAAACTAAGCACAGAGGAAAAACAAATCCTGTTAAGTAACAAACATAACCAAATATGGCTGGAAATACAAACCATATCTCAATAGTAATCCTAAATGTTAATGGCTTAAATGCACCAATCAAAAGACATAGGCTAGTAGAATGGATTAAAAAAAAAGATCCAACAATATGCTGCCTACAGGAGACTCATCTGATAGGAAAAGACATACACAGACTGAAGGTGAAAGGTTGGGAAAAATCATATCACTCATACGGACCCCGGAAGCAAGCAGGGGTGTCCATACTTGTATCAAATAAAATAGACTTCAAGCCAAAGTTAATCAAAATGGATAAACAAGGACACTGCATACTGCTCAAGGGAACCATACACCAACAAGACTTGATGATCATTAATATATATACACCCCAAACAATGGTGCAGCTACGTTCATCAAACAAACTCTTCTCAAATTCAAGAGTCTAATAGACCACAACACAATAATCATGGGAGATTTTAACACACCTCTCTCACCACTGGACAGATCTTCCAAACAAAAGTTGAATAAAGAAACCATAGAGCACAATAATACAATTAATAATTTAGACTTAATTGATATATACAGAGTATACCACCCAACATCAAGCGGATACACTTTCTTCTCAGCAGCACATGGATCCTTCTCAAAAATAGACCATATATTATGTCACAGGGAAAATCTTAGCAATTACAAAGGAGTTGAGATACTACCATGCATTTTATCTGATCATAATGGAATGAAATTGGAAATCAATAATAAAATGAGAAAGAAAAACTCCTACATCACATGGAGATTAAACAATATGCTACTGAATGAACAAAGGGTTACAGAAGACATCAAAGAGGAAATTAAAAAATTCTTAGAGGTAAACAAAAACTCAGACACAACATATCGAAATCTCTGGGACACTATGAAAGCAGTACTAAGAGGAAAATTCATTTCATGGAGTTCATTCCTTAAAAGAAGGAAAAGCCAACAAATAAATGACCTCACACTATACCTCGAAGCCTTAGAAAAAGAAGAACAAATCAGCAGCAAATACAGTAGAAGGCAAGAAATAATTAAAATTAGAGCTGAAATCAATGAAATCAAAACAAAAGAAACAATAAAAAAATTGACAAAACTGAAAGTTGGTTCTTTGAAAAAATAAATAAGATTGATAGACCACTAGCCACGCTAACAAAGAGAAGAAGAGAGAGAACCCAAATTACTAGCTTACGGGATGAAAAAGGCAACATCACAACAGACAATTCAGAAATACAGAAGATAATTAGAAATTATTTTGAAACCCTATACTCTAATAAAATAGAAGATAGTGAAGGCATCAATAAATTCCTTAAGACATATGAACTACCCAGATTGAGTCAGGAAGATAAAACAACCTAAACAGACCAATATCGAGTGAGGAAATAGAAGAAGCCATCAAAAGCCTACCAACCAAGAAAAGCCCAGGACCGGATGGATATACAGCAGAGTTTTACAAGAACTTTAAAGAAGAATTAATACCAATACTCCACAATCTATTTCAGGAGATAGAAAAAAGAGGGAGAACTTCCAAATTCATTCTATGAGGCCAATATCTCCCTGATCCCCAAACCAGATAAAGACACCTCAAAGAAAGAAAACTACAGACCAATATCCCTAATTAATTTAGATGCAAAAATCCTCAATAAAATTCTGGCAAATCGTATACAAAAATATATCAAAAAGATTGTGCACCATGATCAAGTAGGATTCATCCCTGGGATGCAAGGCTGGTTCAATAT